CCTCAAATCTCCCATGGCCTCCTCTCCCCCCACTCTCTAAGCTGATAACCTTGCCTCATATTACACAGAAAAAAAATAAGGCCATTCCTGAAGAACTCCCTCTTCTTCATCTTCTATCACTCAGGTGCCTCTGCTACTCTTTGCTCTTTCTCTCCTGTTTCACATAATGAAGTGGCCTTACTCTTACTCCTTACCAAAGTTAATCCCTCTCCCTGTTCAAGTGATCCCATTACATCTTGTCTCCTCCAACAGACTGCCCCCTTTGTCATCCCCACTTTTTCACTTATTTTTAATCTCTCCCTGTCTACTGGTTCATTTACTACTACCTATAAACATGCTTATAGCTCCCCATCCTAAAAACAAAAAACAAACCCCTCATTTAATCCTTCCATCTCTGCTAACTATCATTCTTTATCTCCTCTGTCCTTTGTAGCTAAACTCCTTGAAAAGTCTGTTAACAATTGGTGCTTCCGCTTTCTCTCCTCTCAATCTCTTCTTATCCACTTACAATCTGCCTTCTGACTGTATCAATCCATTGAAACCGCTCTCTCCAAAGTTACTAATGATCTCCTATTTGCCCTTCAGTTTCTCAATCCTCATTCTCCTTAACCTTTCTGCAGCCTTTGACACTGTTGATCACTCTATCCTCCATTGATATTCTCTTCTCTCTAGGTTTTCGGGATACCACTCTCTCCAGGTTTTTGTTCTACCAATGTGACCCACCCTTCTCTCTGTGTCCTTTGCCAGATCTTCCTCCAGATCACACCCCTCTAACTGTAAATGTTCCTCAGGGTTATGTCCTTGGCCATTTTCTCTTCTCCCTCTATACCACTTCAGTTAGTGATCTCATCAGCTCCTATGGACTTTATCATTCCTATACTGATGATTCTCAAATCTACCTTTCTTGTCCCAATCTGTCTGTTAACCTCCAATTTCACATATCCAACCACCTTTCAGATATCTCAAACAAAATATCTAGTAGAAATCTGAAATTCAAAATGTCCAAAACAGAACTCATTATCTTTCCCCCAAACATTCTCCAGCTTCTATCTTCCTTATTACTAGGACAACCTCCCAGTCTTTCTGGTTCAAAACCTAGAAGTCATCCTAGACTCCTCACTATATCTCATCCCCCACATCTAGTCTGTAGCCAAGACCCGTTGATTTCACCTTTGCAACATCTCTGAAACACAACCCCTTCTCTCCTCTGACACTGCCACCACTTTAGTTGCAGGTCCCCATCACTACTGATTATTGCAAGGCCCACCTGCCTCAAATCTCTCTGCACTCCAATCCAGCCCCCACTGAGCTACTAAAGTATTTTTCTAAAACACAGTTCTGATCATGTCACCCTCTTACTCAATAAACTCTAGTAGCTTTCTAGTGCCTCCAGTACAAAACAGTCTGTTTTGCTTTCAAAGCCTAACTTCATAACCTAGACCCCTCCTATCTTTCCAGTCTTCTTACATCTTACTTCTCAACACATACTCTTTGATCCAAAAATAATTTGATCCCAAATAAAATCTCACCTTTTACAGCATGCCTTCCCCAACCCTTCATAATTCCAATTCTTTCCTCTGTTAATTATTTCCTATTTATCCAGTAGATAATTTGATTTGTATATATTTGTTTCGACTACCATTTTATTGTCTTAGGCCTCGTTTAGTACTCCTAGCACCCATCCCAGTGCTAACATTGTTTCTCAAATTCAGCATTGGGTCACCTCTGCCTTCTGTTCATTTGGAACCTCTGTGCTGTAAAGCCTTTACTAATCCACAGCTTCTGCAAGGAGCTCTCTTCCTTCCTCCTCTGGTGTACACTTATGTTAATACATAATTGTTTTCCTCTAGCATAATGCAAATTCCTTGAGAGCAGGAACTGTTAGTAGTTTTGAATCTATTTCCTGCACTTTCCACATAGTAGGCATTTAATGTCAGCTAGAATTTATTAGGCAGCCAGTAGGTGCCAGGTACTATGCTAACTTAGGTTTTATAGTGTGAAAGAGTACTAGGCCGAGAGTCAAGAGAACCTAAATTCAAACCCACCCTCAGACACTTCCAAGTTGTGTGTGATCTCGGCCAATTCACTTAACCTGTTTGCCTAAGTTTCCTCATCTGCAAAATGGGGATAATCATAGTAGCTACCTCCCAGAATTGTTGTAAGGAATGGAAGAAAATAAAGTACTTATTAGCATAGTGCCTGGAACATAATAAAGGCTATATAAATCATAGCTGTTTGTTAGATTAGTGTGCATGTTTTGTACAGAACGTAAGCTTCTAGAGAGCAAGAACTGTTTTGTTTTTGTCTTTATATCCCTGAAAGTTTTGTGAATAATAGATGCCTAATTTTTTAAAAGGGTCCTAAGTCAAAGATATGGATTACTAGAAACATGAAATTACAACTTTCATGATAACAGAATGCCAAAAATGTAAAGTCCAATCACTATAATTTTCATATGATAAATATATATGTTGTCAATTCTGAATTATGTATAAGTGTATCTCAAGGCTCCCTTCCCCTGAGAGAGGGAAATTATATAAGTACATGAACATAGTACCCAGCTCAAACTGTAATCCAAAATCAAATACTTCTGTATTACCACATCATCTTCAGTATTCTAGTCCTTAAGACTGATGGGGTGCTTGGGTGCTTGCATTTGGGTGCCTGTGCTTGTATTTGGACCCCAATTTCTCCCTAGTCTCTGAAACACTGTATCTGACAATTTCTCCCCAGCCCAAGGACACTGTGCCTAGCAATTACCCATGAGTGGGCCCCAGCAAGACCGTTTATCTCTCTTCTTGGTGCAGCTACACAAAGCTGGGTGAGAGAGCGCTGGGCTGCTCAGGCCCCAGCCCTAAGATCATGTCTCTGGAAACCTCCCAATTCCTTAGTAAGCTCCTATCTTGTGAGAAAACTTTCCCTTGTTGCAGAGCATTCTCTAATCAGGACAGAGAGAGAGGGATGTCTTGTCTGGTCCAAGGAGTTTTGTTCCCGGCAGGTCCAGGGACTCTTTCTCCTGCCAGATTCCCAAGATCCATGCCTCTGACATTTCCCTCCCTGTCTGGTATACTCCCTACACTTTCCCATGCATAGCTCCCAAAGACACCTGGACCTTTAGATTACCTAATCAGTGTCCCTGGCATTCCCTTCCCACGCCCTTTTTCCATATAAACCCTAGCTCCATCCTCAGTCTCTTGCAGGTTCCTTAAGAATCCTTGCCCACTGAAAAGCAACAATAAACTTTTTGCCAACTTGACTTAAAGAATGCTTAAGCTGTGAATTCATTCCAGATGACCCCATCTTGTACTCCAGTCTTTGAGGGGTCTCAACTTCTCAGACCACAACAAGACCACTGACAAAGTATTCATTTAATTCACAGTTGCATTATTTACTTGTCATTTGTGGTGGAATGCCAAGAGTCTACTCCAGCACAAATGACAAGTAAATAATGTAAAAAGCAGAAATGGCTAGATTATGGAGATATTTTCCCCAAGGATTCTAACTAATTAATAAAATGTTGCTGCTAACTCTCCACTATTTCTGTTTCTCTTTTGTGCTCCTTCTCTCTGGGTTTTAAAGACTAATATCCTTTGAATGCATCTTTCTAAAATAAGGATACAATGTTAATTCAAGAAATAGGTGGCATATTAAATCCTGAAGAAGTGGTTCACAAATCTGAGGATCCCTTAACCCTCTTTACTAAATAACTCTAACAGATTTCTAGGAGTAAAAATTTTAATGCGTGTTGTTGGTTTCTTTTATCTTATCATTTCCTAATATATTCCTCCTCTATTCAGCAAGTATCCTCGCCTAATAAAAATTAAAAATTCAAAAATAAGTTGAGAACTAAGCAAAACACCCATTTAACCGTATATACAATGCTATTCTGGAATATTTTTTAGTAATTCAGGCACTTAAAAATCATAACATACATTGTTTTGATCCAGCAACCAAATGCTCATTCACCTATCATTAATTGGTAAAAGGAGAATATGAGGAATATTAGCTTTTTTCACCTTACACACTCAATCTTTCAATACTTGAACTACAGTTGGAAAAAAAAATTCCTTACAACCACCATACGAACGGCATTGCAGATATTTTTACTCTTATTTTCTTCTTCAGTACTTCAAAAGATCTACATCATTCCCAGGATTCCTTCCACCTATTGGAAATGAATTCTCTGAATGCCTGACTGATCGGAGCTACTAAAACAACCTCCTCCATCCTACCCCTCAAAAACACCTTTTTTTTTTTAAAGGACAGGGCAGATTGCTCTTTAGCTTGGGAAGGTTGGTCCTCAGATGACGTGCTGATCTCCTACTAAAATCCTTTCCAACTTGATAGGAATTGCTCAAACACTTGTTATGCTAGCATAATACATGAGAACTAAGTGTCACCTACGTGCCTTGTACAGGTATAGGAAATGAACTTTAGTACTTGATCCCCATCTAATATAGAAGCAAGTGAAGCGGAGGGAGAACCACATGGCTTGGTCAGTCACATGGCTATCAAGCAACCAAGCAGATTCCACTACCATTGCTAACAAAAAAGCCTAATGTTTAGACTCCCAAATCCAATCAGGGTTCAGCCGACTACAATGGAATGACTGAAGACCCTGGGTCTCATCATCTTTTCTTTCTTTTTTTTTGTACTTTTTTTTTCCTGTTTGTGTTCATTTGGGATGAGGCGAGGAGAGGTGTTTTAAACAGGACAAAGTCCTGGAACTTCTGGCAGCACACCTCCCACGTGGACCAACTGCAGAACGGCTTTCCCTCCCAACTCCAGGAGTTTCTCTTTCCCCTCTCCCAACCGCGCACGGTGTCGCGGGAGTGGTGGAGGGATGGGGGGAGGGGGGCATGGACTTCTTGGTTCACCCCTTATACAATATATATAGTAAAGTCAACCACTTAGAAGGAAAAGAGGGATGCAGGAGTGAAGGGGGAAGGGGGAAGAAGAGAAGGTAAAAAAGGCATGACAACGCCCGGGATGATACCCACCTCCTGGAATAAAAATAAAGCTGCCTCACACAGGTCGGTCTCGCCCTCGGCCACTTCCAGGCGGCACAACTTCCTCGGCCACTCCGCAGATTCGGGCGTTGTGGCAACCCGCGCACCGCCAGCAGCTGGGAAAGTTCGCTCGCGTCCCTGAGGCCGGGCCCAGGCTCCGGCGGCTCCTGGCCTCCGTCCTCCCTCACACGCCTGCTCCCCGCGTGCGCGGGCACGGCAAGGCCAGTCTTTCTTCCCCTCCGGTCTCCTCAGCCCGGCTCCGCTTCCCGGTAGCCTCTCTCCAGCAGCGGAGACGGCAGCAAAATACCTTAACCCCTTCGGTCCCTCCGAGGGAATGGGGGCGAATACAGAAGACACTCGGTGCTATGCGCAATACCGTCCCCTGAGAAAACACGCTCCGCAGCATTAAGGTACCGCCTTTCCTCAACGCCATCTCCGGCCCTTCCCCTGCCTGTCCCCGCCCATGGGTTGACAAGACCTGCGTGAGCTCTCACCAGTTGCACTCAGAAAGAGAAGGGTTTGGGGAGGCGTAGTCTTGTCTCAGTGACCCCCGGTGGAGGTAATCCCTCCCCAGTGGAATACTGACTTCCATCTAGAGAGGTAGGAAAACAACGGTCTCCAGTCCTCTTTAGCCGCAAAAGAAAACATCGATGAGCCCCTCCCCTCCCTTGGGAGCTTCCACAGGTAGCCAGGAAAGGAAAGAGGGGAAACCGAGTTGAGTTCCACAGAATGAGGTCGCGTGTCACCCAATAGATCCTCCGCCGAGCAAGGGCCTTGCCCCGGCTCGTGGAAAGCCGAACTCTCGCCCGGTAGTGGATGATTCGTCGCTCTCCTCGTCGGGTCTGCTGGCGCGGGACGCTCCGATGACCCCGGCTGGAGCCGCCGCCGCCGAGCGGAGCGGGAGCCGAGCGGAGCCGCAGGAGATGGCGTCTCAGCCGCCGCCGCCGCCGAAGCCTTGGGAAACTCGGAGGATCCCGGGGGCCGGAACAGGACCCGGGCCCGGCCCCTCCTTCCAGTAAGTATGGGGGCTCCTTGGCTTCTGCTGCCGGCTGGGCTGAGGAGGCTGAGGTAGCGGCGGTTACGATCGTTGGGTTCGGTCCCCTCCCCCACGCCCCCTCAGCACCGGGGCATCCGAGGCCGGGGCTGGAGGGTCGGGTCCCGGCAAGCCCTTCTGGGCGAGCTGCGTTCTTGGGCGTTCAGCCGGCCGACAGGCGTTGGTTATGCGCCTGCTGTGCGTGCCAGGGGCCGGGCCGGGCGCCGAGGACCCGGGGAGAGGCAGCCCCTGCCCACGGGGGAGGCGGCGTGCAAACAGCTGTGTACACACCAGCTGTACACGGGATCGGCAGACGGGCAGCGCTGGCATGGAGGAGTCGGGGAGGGCTTCCTCTGTAGTGAGAGCTGAGGAAGGAGAGTGCTTCAGGCAGGGGACAGCCGGAGGAAATGCCCAGAGCCGAGGCGGGGTGCCTTATTTGTGTGTCACTGGATTGTTAGAGTGGGACGGGGTCTGGGTTGAGAAGGGCTTTGAGCATTTTGTTGCTGTGGAGGTCTATGGGAAGCCACTGGAGCTTATTGAGTAGGGGGTGACGCGATCTGACGTGAGTTTCAGGAAAAGGAATTTAATGGCTAAATAGCGGGTGGATTGAAGTGGGAAGAGCCTTGAGGCAAGTTGACCCACCAGTAGGCTATTTTAAGTTCAGGTCTGAGGTGATGAGGGTCTGCACTAGAGGAGTGGGAGTGTGAGAGGAGGGCAGGGGACATCCAAGCTGTCTGTACCTCTCTCTGAGCTGAAGAGTTTCTAATGGGGGGGGGGAATGGAGGAGAAAGAGACAGTGTATGCGTGAGAGAGTGTGTGTGTGCGCGCGCGCGTGCGTACACGGTTTGTATGGGGGCAGGGAGAACCTCTTTTCTGAATCCTGAGTATTCCAATAAAAATGTATCTCCGAATTTCCTTTTCACTCACAGCCTTGAGGGCATTACTTTCCCAGTACTAACTCGATAATAATAGAGTGGCTGGGGCTCGGAGTATATGGTAAAAACATTTAACTATAGAGGCCTCAATAAAAGGTGTTTTGGTTTTTTTTAGATATTTAATAAATGTATATTGGAATGATGTTGTTCTTGTCCTGTCAAGTTCCGTTAATATTTGGGTCTGGATTTTGGAAGAATCATTTTAAGACTTATTCTCCTCTGCTGTGTCCAGTCTAGCCTCCTGATGGTTATTCTGTATTCAGTGCCGAGATGGAGACAAAATATAAAATTTTGCTCAATCACTGGGGGAACAAAACAACACTAGAATATGTTCCTGCCAAATTGCATCTGTATATGTTCAGCAAGCTTTGAAGTGCATGAAAACAAGATTTGGGATTGTTCACATAATAAATAGTCCCATCTTTGGGGTACATTGGTCATTGTTAATAATAATTCATAAATAGGAAATGTTTAATTTTATATTTCTTGTTTCTAGTGATGCAGTGTTTTGTTTTTGCAGCATATTTATATTTGCTTGTGGGTTTCAACTCAGTGCTTAAAACAGTTCTTGTTGCTTTTAGATTGGTTTGTAGGAGCCCTTTGTCCAACAGTCTGAGATTATCAATAACAGGGATGAAGTGAGTAGAGTAGGGAGAGAGAGACTTGATGCCATATAGTCTCTCTCCTTTTACTTTTATTCTTTCATCTTATATTTTATCTTATATTTTATTCATCTTACTGTAGGCAGAGCACTATGCTAGACACAGGAAAAATACAATGTTTAGAGAAGCCACAGCCCCTAGGCTCATGGACCTTACAGTCTGATGAAGGGATATTACACAACAAATGCATAAGTGCATTATAGTGGGAGGGAGGAAGAGTTCTAGGCATAGGAACAGAGACTGGAAAGAACACTAGGATATGTGGTGGGTAGAGAGTAGAGTTTAAGCTACCTTCTAGGGGATATAGAGAGTTAGAATATGAGATAAGGCTGGAACAACAGAGTACCATCATATTATACAGGACTTTCCCTAACAAAGAGTTTGACCTTTCCTGAGTAGTGAGTAAGGAGACCCTAAATTTCTTTTGAGGGGAGGAGTGATATGATTAGATTTTTCAGAATTCCTTATGCATTAATTGTTTATATTGTTCACCTTGGTATTTAATTATATATGCCATCTTGTATTTTTTTTCCTGTATCTTGTGTCCCCAGTGCAATTGTCAAGTATTAGAAGACAGGAACAATTCTTCACAGTATTTACATACCTTATGTTTGACTTTTTACAATTTACAAAGTTCCTTCATGCTGTGATACCAGATACTGTTTTATGTAACCTTTGTATCTCCTTTAGTGCCTAACACAGGGCTCTATGCATAGTAGTATGAAATAAATGTTTCAATGAATGAATGAATCTCATTTGATTTTCACAAGCTTATGAGGTGAGCAGGAAATTTTTTTTTACCCCTATTTCCTGAGTATGGAACCCAATGATAGCCTGTATCTCTTGTTTCAAAGCTAGCCTGTCTTAAGGGGAAGTTCTGGAAATTTGACTAACAGGCACATAGCACAAAGGAACTCAAAGAGACCTATGAAGGTATGAATAAAATACCCACACAACTTGAAATAATTTAGTATATGTATTTTTGTATTCCTTATCATATGTATCTCAACTTAAGTGTATATTAGGAACTTAATAAATAACTACTGAATTGAATTTTTTAATTAAACAATTTATTTATTTATTTATTTATTTATTGTTTTCAACATTCACTTCCATAAGATTTTGAGTTTCAAATTTTCTCCTCCCTCCTCCCCAAGACAGTATGTAATCTGATATAGGCTCATATTAAGCATATTTTCACATTAGTCATGATGTAAAGAAGAATGGGAGGAACCACAAGAAAGAAGAATCAAAACAACAAAAGAAAAGGAGAGCAAATCTACATTCAGATTCCATAATTCTTTCTCTGGATGTGGACAGCTTTTTCCATCCGTGAGTCTTTTGGAGTTGTCTTAGATCCTTGCATTGATGAGAAGAGCTAAGTCTATCAAAGTCAGTCATCTCACAGTGTGGCTCTTACTCTGTACAGTGTTCTCCTGGTTCGGTTCACTTCACTCAGCATCAGTTCATATAAGTCTTTTCAGGTTTTTCTGAAGTCTGCCTGCTCATCATTTCTTACAGCACAATAGTATTCCATTACATTTATATACCACAGCTTGTTCAGCCGTTCACCAGTTGATGGGCATCTCCTCAATTTCCAATTCTTGGCCACCACAAAAAGAACTGCTATAAATATTTTTGTACATGTGGGTCCTTTTCCTGTTTTTTTGATCTCTTTGGGATATAAACCTAGAAGTGGTATTGCTGAGTCACTGAACTGACTTTGAGTGCTTGATTATTTCTCTGTAATATGGATATGGATCCTGAACCTCTGAAATTTTCTTTTTTTAGATCTGCTGATTTGGGTCCTACTTTATTGACAAGGCCTGGGCAACCAACTCTTACGAGAGTACCCCCACCAATTCTTCCAAGGCCATCACAGCAGACAGGAAACAGCAATCTGAACACTTTTAGACCTGCTTACACTTCCTTTTCTTCTGGTTATGGAGCATATGGAAATTCATTTTATGGAAGCTACAATCCTTACAGTTATGGATATGGAGGGTTGGGGTATAACCGGTTCCGTATGGATGATCTTCCTCCCAGCAGATTTGTCCAGCAAGCTGAAGAAAGCAGCAGAGGTGCATTTCAGTCCATTGAAAGTATTGTGCATGCATTTGCTTCTGTCAGTATGATGATGGATGCCACCTTTTCAGCTGTCTATAACAGTTTTAGAGCTGTTTTGGATGTAGCCAATCATTTTTCCCGGTTGAAAATACATTTCACAAAAGTGTTTTCAGCTTTTGCATTAGTTAGGACTATACGGTATCTCTACAGACGATTACAGCAGATGATGGGTTTAAGAAGAGGCTCTGAGAATGAGGATTTGTGGGCAGAAAGTGAAGGTACTGTGGCTTGCCTTGGCCCAGAAGACAGAGCAGCTAACTCAGCAAAATCTTGGCCAATATTCTTGTTCTTTGCTGTTATCCTTGGGGGTCCTTACCTTATCTGGAAACTGCTATCTACCCACAGTGAGGAAGTAACAGGTAAGGAAAATTTATAAGGTTACAAATAATCATATTTCTGTTATCAAGGAATAAGGTAACATGGTCACCTTGAGTTTTTAATGAATGGGGCATATCATCAGATTGTGTATATTTTATCTGTTTTTGATCCTTCTTTAGATATATTTTGAGTAAAGGATATTTTGACTGGAAAAACAATAATTAGCAGAAAACAGACTTGTTAATTTAGTCACTGATTAAAGTAAACAAATATTCATTGCAAACCTACATGATACAAGGGCACTTTGCTTGACATTATCCAGAATTTAAAAAAAAATAAATGACATGGTCCTTGCCTCTCAACTACCATGTAATTTAGTAATTGAGATGAAAAGTCTACACAAGAAACTACAATACAAGGCAGAATATGATGATGAGCTATCTATACATATAGTACAAAGTACTAAAGGAAGTCAAAGAAGGGAATGATCACTTCCAACAGAATTTTTCAGAGAAAGCTTAAAGGAAGTAATGTTTGAGCTAGTTCCAGAAAAATGAATCAGATTTCTGAAGGTTAAGTCCCAGGGTCCCTGCCTACTTATATGGTGTCAAAGACTTTAAGTTGCAGAAGAGTTGCCAATCTGTGTAGATAAAAGGAATTGCCTCACCCAGGAGCTCCCTGCATCATACAAATCAGGATTAAAATAAATAGGCAACTGTAAAAGTTTCAAGTGTGTTTCAGAAACTCTTTTGAGTGGTATGTTTTGGGGAATAATGGAGATGAGGCTGAAATAGGACTAGATGTGAAGGGATTTAAATACTTGCTAATACGTTAACATGTAGTGCTTTAAGGTTTACAAAGTACTTTATGTACTTCTCATTTGATCTTCACAATATCCCTGAAAAGTAATTATTACAGATGCTGTACTCATATAGATGAGCAAATGGTCTTTGAGTGACAAAGTCACTTTTCCATGGGCACAAGGCTAGTGAATGTTGAAGGTGGGATTTGAACCCAAGTATCCTGGTCATCTAGTCCACTTAAATGCACCACACTTTCTCCTCAAGCTAACGATTTTAAACTTTGCAGATAGTCGGGAAGTCGTTGAAGATTTTTGAACATAATGATATAACATATAAGTTATGCTTTAGGTAGATTAATCTGGCAAAAGTGTACAGTATGAATTGTGGGATAAAGAGTGGAGGAACACCAGTTAGAAGGTTAGTACAAGAATCCAGATCAAAGGCATTAATTAATTCAGTGTGGTGGAAATAGGAGGGGTCTGATGGAAGAGACATTTCACACTACTTTGTTGCGCATAGTCCATTATTTAATTGTTGAATTGCAGCAGTGAGGATCAGTAGGGTTTAGTGACTTATTTAGGTGTGTGGGATGAGGAAGAAGAAAGAAGTAAAAACTTCCAAGGTTTTAAGCTCAGGTACTGAAATAATGGTGGTGCCATTTTTAGAAGTAGAAAAAATAAGAGGAGGAGCTAAGTAGGGCAGGGTCGGGGTGAATAATAGCTTTGGTTGTAGGTTTAAGTTTCAGGTACTAACAGAACATTAAAAGAGAGATATCCAGTAAGCAGAAATGTGCAACTAGGGCTGGACATGTAGATTTTGGAGTCATCTACCTAAAGTTCATAGCTAAATCTCTGGTGTAAATAAACTTACTCAGGGAGAAGAGAGAAGAGAAGGATGTATTTGTAGGAAAAGGAAGGAGCCTAAAGAAAAATTGAAGATGTAAGTGTCAAAGGGGAAAATTGATGGGGCAGAGTCTTGGAGAGGGGTTTGGAATAGATGAGATCAAAAATAATTACTAGTAAAAGGGTAAGCCTAAGAAAAGAAATTACTTCCCTTGAGATTAAAAAGGAGGAGGAGGAGAGGGATAGAAAAACATACATAGGTAAAGAGAAGGAAAATTTGAGAGTTCACATTGTTTGACTTCAATTTTCAGTGAACCCTGCAGGAGTCACAGTCATATGCCAAAAAATAAAAGGTGAATGGGGGGCTGAGCAGTAGGAAAAGTTTGAAGTATACTCAGAGGAATTCAATATTGATGGTACAGAATACATTTTTTCTGGTTTTCTTAAAGAATAAGATATATTTTTTAAACTGCATCTAATGAAATGTGTGGCTTTTTCTGCTGATATTTCATTTTTTATTAACTTCATCTAATTCATAATTTCGAATATAGCAACCACCAATTGGGCGAGTGGTGAGGATGACCATGTTGTAGCCAGAGCAGAATATGATTTTTCTGCTGTTTCTGAAGAAGAAATTTCTTTCCGGGCTGGTGATATGCTAAACTTGGCACCCAAAGGTAATATGCTTCAATATTTTAAGAGTATTGGTGATATATAATGTGTAACGTCTGTGTTTTGTCTGTGAAATTTTTTGTTTGTAAATAAAGTGCTCCTAATTGCCACTGAGGATTCAGGATACCATGTTAATTATTAATTAGTTACAGTTGTGACTCATATTAATTTAAAGCCTTAAAACCTTCAGGAGAGAAATACAGCATCAGGATTTTGTCCAACAATAATAATAAAAACAAAAAAGGAAACATTTTGTGTTTATATAGTGCCTCTTTTAGAAGAACTCAAAATATGTGAATTCCAAACTGGAAGTGAATCACTTCTTTGAAGAATAATGCTTGTATAATCTAATAAATTACCAGGGAATTATCTGCTTTTATCCAAGTCTCTGTACTGGGAATATGGGATCACTACCACTCTTCCTCGAAGTAATATTTTGCTTTTATTTGGTAATGGTATTGAATTTTTGCCAGAAAATCTGTGTGCTCATAAACCAGGAGCAATGCCAAATTTCAGCAAGTCATTTATCAATATTTTGAGTATTCTTTTTAACCAATTTCCAGTGACTTAGCAAACTAACTAGAATTTATGTTGAACTTTTTTTTAAATTGCTGTTTTAATGACTTCAGATAAAATTATTTTTATCTTTATTCCTGTCTAGTCAGAGCAATAGGAATTTTTTGTGGAGACTCAATTTGGATAGCAACATTGAGATCATAATTTTTGTATTAATCATCTTAAAATGTCTGTGGTCTTCTTAATGAAAACACTGACTCTTTAATGGTTTGGGGCAATTTTTACCTGAACTTTAAATACATTGTATTAACTACATTGTAATAACAGTCTTACTGTTGAATACGTTGATTTTTTTTTAGGGCAGCTAGGTGGTACAGTGGATAGAGTGCCAGTCCTCCAGTCAGGAAGACCTGAGTTCAAATCCAGCCTCAGACATTTATTAACTGCGTGACCCTGGGCAAGTCACTTACCACTGTTTGCCTCAGTTTGCTCATCTGTAAAATGAGCTGGAGAAGGAAATGGCAAACTACTCCATTATCTTTGCCAAGAAAACCCCAAATCAGAAAACAAAGAGTCGGGCATGACTGAACAACAGCAACAACATGTTGATTTGTTATGTGAATGATTGAAAAGTTTGACCTAGTTAAACTGGTTAGAACTTGCTGGATCTTGAAGCCAGTCCTTCAAATGAAGACATCTTTAGTTGGAGATACCACATAATTCTTTTGATTGACTTGTTTATTTATGTTATTATTAGATTATATAGTATTTTTCTTCCAGTGAAATACATAGTAAAATAACTCCTTTAGAATTTGTCTAGTGAGCTCTTCAAGAAAACAGGTGCTGTGCAAATACAGTGATTTTTAAGATTTAATATTACAGCCACCTACATGAAATGAGGTAAGAGACTAAAGGTAAGGCAGTATTAACATATAAAAATCAGATAAATGGTAGAACAAAACAGCAGTGGAGAAATGTCTCTGACCTAAATATGACGCACTTACAGGACCTGCCCTAGAATGGCCCCTATATTGGGTAGTCACAGAAGCTCTCCTTTGCCCCTTCTTTTTTCCTCCCTTCTTCCCTCACTGGCACTTCCTGATTGTCACTTTATACTTGGGCTGGTCCGGAATAAGGCCTGAACTGGCATGAGGGAAGGAGATCTCCTTTCCATTCTCTCCCTTTACTGCTGCCCTCTTTTCTCCCTACCCTATATACTCTGCAAAAAAAACCCAGGTGATCCACTGAGTCTAGTCATCTCCCTAAAGTAAATGATTGCTACTTCAATCCTTGGTTTATCCCCAAGCTCACCATTTGTTGTCTTTCCTCAAAGGAAATGACATCTCTTTCCACATAAATGGGCATTTGTCCAGCAATTGAGAGTGGGAAGAGGAGAGTCTGAAAAGGAAGAGTCATGGAAGACAGTTGTTTTACCCCACCTTTTTCTCTTGTTTCACTGCCATTTAGGCACTGAATATTGAAGATGGAAGTAAACTTCAATCACTCAGATCATCTAGTCTGAGGTGTCCCCTTCTTCCCTCCCACTTCAGGACTGAATCAGGAAAATCTGAGGTCAAATCATACATTAGCTGTGTGACCCTGGGCAAGTCACTTCAACTCTGTTTGCCCCAGTTTCCTCACCTATAACAATAATGAAGAATACCTACCATTCAGGGTTGTAAGGATCAAATGAGGTAATACTTGTAAAGTGCTTAGCACAGTGCCTGGCATATAGTAGTCACTTATTCCCTTCCCCTTTCCATAGTCTAACTCATTTTACAAATGAAGAAACTGAGGCCCAAAGAGGGCCAGTGATATTTCCAAAGTCACACTGTTACTTAGTGTCATAACTGGGGCTAGAACTCTGTCTCCTGCTTCATAGGTGTATATTTTTTCCACTTGACAAGAAGGATAGCTGGCAATCCAACAGTAAGGAAAAGACCAAAATTATAAGTAGCTTCTAAAGATATAGTTAGCATTATAAAGCCATTTATTGATACAAATAGTCTTCTATACCATAGTAGTCCCCTGATTATTTCTCTATCTTATAATACAGTATTGATGAAGATAACCTGTTGGGAGTAGAAGATGGGTATTGAGGGAGGAAGGAGGTGGATTCTAGTTCTACCTTTTATATATGCTAGCTATGTGACATTAGCTAATAGAGGTAAGTCATTTGACCTGTCGGTACCCCAGGCAGCATTCTTAAAATTTAAAATTACAGAGGAGTTGCCTATTTGCTTTGGTGGATTGAGTTTCCAAACCAAGGATTCCCTAATTCAATTCAGTGTCAAATCTGGACCCTCCCTTCAAAAATTGATTGAAATTATCTAGAATGATCCAGGAAAAGTCGAGTGTTATGTTCCACATACTATTTAAGAATGTAAAGAAGGACATGATATATTTTAGAAACATATCTATCAAAAATGGTTTAAAAGATTTTTGGTGCTAGTGGAGTAGGCTAGATAAATGAGGTGTATAGGCTTTTATAAGTTTGAACTATGTAACTTATTAAGTTCTTCCTTTAAGCACTATATACTTAAACAGTAGGTAAAATGTAGCACTTAACTTTTTCTTTATGACACCAGATAATTAGGTATGAATAGAAAATTTTTTTATTTTACTTTCAGTCTAGACTTTTTCAACAGTGATAGGTGGTGTAGTGGATAGAGCACTGGGCCTAAAGTCAGCAAGATCTGAGTTCAAATATGGCCTCAGGTACTTACTACCTGTGTGATCCTGGGCAAGTCACAGTTTCTGTCTGTCTTCGTTTCCTCAACTGGAAAATGGAAATAATAATAGGACCTACCCCGTAGGGTTGTTGTGACATTCAAGTAAGTTAGCCGGAAAAAAAAATCCAGTAGGAGTTGGCACATAGTAGACACATAATAAATGCTTATTCCTTTCACCCTCCCTGGTGTGGACACTCCCTCAATTGATGAATAGCTCCTCTTGTATATAGCAGTGGCTTCTAACATTTTTGTTTGATTCTTCTGCTTTCTCCCTCTATCAAGTAAGAGGTGTAAACGAATAACTAAATGTGTTGAAAATTTTAGATTTTAAACCTGTTTCCAAGGACTGGTTCACTTAAATTTTCTCCTTTGTTCTCTTTGAATAATTCTTTTCCAGAATAAGGAAATCTTTTGTCTTCTGTGATGACCTATATCTGTCTATGTTACATTGTTCAAAGATAACTGAACAGATTTAGCAGTTGTGTTAAGATGCTATGTATAACTAGGTATACTAACATGACAGCTTTAAAATGCAAAAATAAATCTTTCAAAACTGAATACTTAAAACTTTCTTTCGTAAATTGTCTTTGACTTTTTGAACTTTTGTCTAGAAATCTGAGTACTTTAAAAAAATTTTTTTCATTATGGATTTAACCCAATATTCATTCCTTTGAAAATTTCATAGCAATATGTTAGCATGTTTCTCATCACAGATGAAATGGAATGATCTTCTTTATAGCTTACACCAAGAGGACAAAGGGGAATTATACCACTTAATGTATCATTTTCCAAGCTATGTTTTAGTAAATATATGTTATTTTTCCTATTAACAGGAAAGGTAAGGAAATTGAAAATAAATTTAGTAATCCTTGTCTTTGGTTTTGTGAGTTTGAAATGTAGAAAAGTTTAAGCATTCAGTGGACATTATTTTGTATATTTGGAGGAATCCGTTTCCTGATACATTTTTTGGATTATAATTGAATCTCTTATGCAAATAAGAGACCATTAAGGACACTTTTTGAAATTTGAATTTTACCTAATATTTTGTTTTTGTTTTATATTTTACTTACTGTGTTTTAATGTCTATTCTGTCGTGTACTGCCGGAGTATTTTATAATTGAAAAACTTTTTTTCCTTCCATCAGAACAACAGCCCAAAGTTCGTGGCTGGCTTCTTGCTAGCCTTGATGGCCAAACAACAGGACTTGTGCCAGCTAATTATGTCAAAATTCTTGGTAAAAGAAGAGGTAGGAAAACAGTGGAATTGAATAAGATTACAGAGCAGCAACGAGCTTTTACCAACTCAGCCCTAATTAGTGGAACCACTGCTGCTGACACATTGGAGGAGCAGGAAGCAGCCTTTGAATCTGTTTTTGTTGAAAATAATAAGGTTCCAGTTACATCTGAATCCACTGGCAAAAGTGGAGATAAACAAGATCTTTGATATCCTTCATGTTTACTTACAATTGAACTGTTTTCAAAAAATATGATTTTGATATTTCTTTGAAAGAAATAGCCCACAATCTAATGCAAACGTGTTTTGGCTATCATAGATGTTTTTGCTGCTAGAAAAATATTTAAGGTGTACTTTAGTAAGCTGGTTCAGAACGTAACCTGGTTGCTTTCTACAAGTTATTGGAGCAGGAGGTTTTCTTAGTCCTGGATTAAGACTTCCTGTTTCTCATCAAATGCCCCATTGTTTATTGAAAGAGTTACTTTGATGAGCTATAGAATGTATTGTTTATTGGAATGTAGAACTCTGATTTTTTAAGACTTCTAAACAGATTGTCTGAGAATGCTCAGAAAGTAGGAGATAATATATAAAAAAGTAAGAACCAACTTAAAAAAAAAGAGTTATTGGTAGTTTTTAAGGAATTTAACTACCCAAAGTGGGTTAAGGGCAGGTAGCCAGAGATTTGTCCTTTAAGTAAGAACTCCTGGATAATAAGAATTATATGACCTTTATTGCAGCCCAGTTCTGCATCATTTGCTTTTGATTATATTTTTCCACCTTTTCAGAATAATTTCATATTCATCCTTTTTTTAATATCTTGAAAAGTTCACTAAAAGCATTGGGAATAAAACTACTTCCTAGAATGATTTAAAGACTGTATGCAGCACCAAAATCTTCCCTAGGTAGTTGTGATCTTTTTTTTTTTTTAACTCCAGAATGTCTCCATTTCTTTGTGCTGAGAGTCCTACATCTTTTGAGCCCTTAAAAATATGGCTACTTTTATGAAAAGAGAGAGTGCAGTAGAGGTACTTTTCCCAAAAAAAAACCTGAACATACAAGCTCTTTGAGGCTGAGTAAAATGATTTACCCAGTTCTAGCAGTGGTGATATTTAACTTTCTCATTTAAACCCTGTTTATATCTTAGTATGATTACTTTTTAAAATTTCGCGTGCAGATAGTCCTACAAAGATATTAAAAATGATACAGGTTATTTCCTTTAGATTTAGGATTTGTAACTAACAAAGCAAAGCAGATCACAAAATACTATATTGCCATTCAGTTAAGTAACCTACTTGATTTGAGTCTTTGTTTAAATAATGATTTCAAATGCAACTAAATTTCAGGGTGCTTAAATATCTTATAGCAAAATCTGGAGATTCCTGTAAACCATGATCATATATGACAGTGATTGCTACAAAGTAATTTTAACATTAAGCTCAAAATAGTAAAGTACTTTAAGATGATGTCTAAAACTGAATTATTTGATAGAATTATGAATTAGTATGCTTTTACATTTCTTCTGTTGAACTTTATGTTCACTAAATGAGCAATTTTAGAACAGACTCTACAACATGAGTAGCCTAAATGAAACTTACTAAAGGATATCTCTGAAATTTGTTTTTTAAAATAGACATCATTTAAATTAGTACTCCTATCTGAACAGGAAAATGGAACATCTTAGAATTTTAAAATGTATGAGAGAGCTAAAAAGGTGTAGAGAAAATAAACTTCCTAAATATGTTGCTTAGAGATTCAGCCAAGGTATATAACAAATCTTTAAATATTATTTATCATTATTCGCTTTTTCTGATTTTTGTGGTTATTCTTAGATGTAATTGCTGGGATCCAGTTCATGGAATCTAAATCTCATACCAAAATTTCTAAAGCAGATTAGTTATTTAATTTGATGTTGGAACAGCCAAATTGAATGGGAGTACAATGGAAGTAAAAAAGCCCTGAAACTTGGTGGTGGCCTCATTAAATTTGATGGGAAGTATTTATTTAGTTCCTAGGCTAGGGATTGTGGTTGCTATTAAGAATGAAGAAGGAATAACAGAGGATAAAGTAAAAAGGTGGATAAATATAGCTTCATCTTTCATTGAGGTCGTTCTTATGTCCTTGATGTTTTTAGTATGGTAGGTTGCTATATAAATTACCTGACTAGTGAGTGTATGTATGTGTGCGAATCCCTATTTTACTGGAAAACCAGGAAGGGAATTAAGAATTTTGAGTAAGCAAAGAAAGTCTTTGAAATTTCTGTTATCATGACTTTTACAATATAATTTTCAAGTAGGGCTAAATTTGTTTGCTGTTCAGGTCCCCAGTTTTTTTGCTTCATCAATTATTTAATTAAGGAATGGACATTTTAAAGAAACTATTAAGCAAAACATTTTCAAGTTAATATCCTCACATTATCAATAAGCAGACATTTAGCATTCTCAGTTTTTCTGATTGTATTCTTTGACCTATCAGCTTAAAGAAAACAAAGTAAAGCTATTGTAGTTAGTCATTTAATGTTTTAATTTTTAGGTATCTGATTTAGTCTATCACTGTGTCATAACTATACATTAACCTGAATAAAACTATACTTTGTCTTTTGTTTTCTTAATGAAAAAAAGACAGAGAAAATGGATACAGTTAAAATATATTTTATTTTTAAATGATTGTGAAATCACATGTACTGTATAAATAAAAATAAATTAAATTTCACTGATATTTTCTGCAGGTGACCTGATATTCTGTTTCTTAATCCAGAAGGTATTGAGAAGTGTTTATAGGGTTTTTTTTGTTGTTTTTTTTTAAAGTTAATTTTCTCATGTTATTCATATCAGACTATTTCCAACCCATTTATATGTTCAATTTCTTCTGTATTTAAATAGCTCCCAATAAAAATAGTTTTATGTTGTTATAAAAGTTATATTAAATGCTGTATAACTGGTATAAAGAAGCTAAGACAGTGAATCTGAAGACCTGGACCTAGCGCCATCACTAATTATTGATGTGTCCTTGGGCAAGTCACATAACCATTTGTCTCAGCTGCAAAAAAGGAAGAAATAGGTGCCCTACCTACCTCACAGGGCTGTTGTGAGGATCAAATGTGATTGTGTATTTATGAAAATTATTTGAAAAGCATCATATAACAAATACTGGGATGGAGACAATACAGCCATGATTTTGGCAGCCAGCAGTATGTTTGTTAGAATGCTATATACGTAAATATTAGTCCAGGAGAATGGAAGAGGATAGAGAAGACAGTATAAATTATGTAATTTAACATTTTTTCATAAAGATACATATACAGCAAAAGTTCTTAACCTGGGGTCCATGAACCCCACTGTGGTTTGTGGATAGATTTCAGAGGGTCCTTTAACTTGGGAGGGAGGGAAGAGAATTCATCTTTTTTCTCCCGAATCTCTAAAGAAATAGCATTTTCTTCAATTTTGAATGTAGGCAGCAAACATTCTTAGAAGAAGGGATCCATAGACGTTACCAGACTCATAGCAGTCCATGACATAAGAAGGATTAAGAACCTCTGCGACAGAGCTGAAATGTAGCCATTGGTAGCAGTAATCTTGTATGTGTAGAATACTTTTTTACCCTTGAAAACTTAATTGTTTTATCAATTATGACATAGTTATACATGATATATATAATAATTACATATAATTCTGCACAAAATAAAACAAAAAATACATCTGCCAAATAATACAGCAATTTATTATAGAAACTATGATGAGATTTTTATGTTCATCCAGAAAAGTGAAATTAAATTTAGCTTTTCTTTCTTCCCAAAAAGTTCTCTCGTGCTGATTTATCTAAAACAGAAGGGTGAATTGATCCATTTTTCAGATGGTTAAATCATGGAATGTACATATACTAAAAGCAATTTTTTCCAATTCTGCATATTTTTTTCAGTTTCTTAATATTCTTTCCTTGTCTCATTAATTAGAAACATATACAGTCTTTTTTTAACCTCACTAGAAAAATTTTATTCAACCACTTATTTATTTTTAAATTTTATTGTATTCAGTTACTATAATTGAATAAATCAGGGTTCTTTTTTTGTAAAACAAGTAAATCTCAAAGATTTAGTTTAATGGCATTCAATTAGAATGAATGGGAAGTTACATTATGGTAACATGTATCTTAAGGGAAATGTGTTCATAGGAATCTTACAAGTACTGTATCTGTACTCTAATGCCTCTTGGAAGAAAAATTTGACTGTGTGAAGAGAAATGTAAAACTTTAAGAATTTTTGAAGCCATGGGGGGATTTTCTTTGGGGGCAAAGGAGACTGAGAGAGATATATGCCAAGAGGAAAAGGACTCAAAATTTGAAGGGAAAAATTGAAACATGCATAATACTTATTTGTTAGGACTTTTTTTACCTAAAGACATTGTTAGTTAAGGAACATAGAAACATATCGTATATAACCTGGCTAGTTCAGAAATGTATCACGTTCTGAGAACTGAGAGATTTTTTTAAATTTTGGGAGCCTTCACAGCTCTACATACAAACTAGTTTAAATTTGAAATTCTTGGACTGGGACATCAATAAGCATTTTAGGGATACATAATTGAAAAATTAAGCTCTTCTTTAGAAGTAAGCAATTTTTTTTCTCTCTCTCAGGCAGTGTGTTCTATGTACCATCTTTTTATGACTCTCTTGTGTCTCAACAATACCCAACATAAATTGACTCATGAATTCTTCAGTTCAAGCTCTTCAATTTATTCACATTACATCTTTGCTTCTGTAAATGACCCTGGACTGAGATTTTTGCCATTCATAGTTTCTCTTTGTACTGTCAAATCCCTCAATCTTTTAGCCCCTTTGCACAAGCCATTTGGTTAGGCAAAAAAAAAAAATCTAAACTCAAATAATTATCTCTTCTGGTATCTGATCTGTATTTTAATCCCCATTTTAATATTTTACTAAATGTTCACCCCTGTAGTCTTACTGACAATTACTAAGAATGCCATTTTCCTTTAGAGATTATAAAAGGGATCACCTTGCACCATTATCTTTTTGTAGTGTTCCCCTTGATGCAAAGAGGTAGGTACTCCATAAAGGAAAAAAAAATAGCATATGGCCTTCATTGTGAATATACTGATGTTAATTGTAAATGTGACATTAATACAGTGTTAAATTTGGTAATTTACATTATGTTAACAGTATGTTTTATTTTCCTAGTCCAATTTAAATGGTGCACTATTAGCTTTTCACTCTTCTATCATGTTTTACTGGATGTTCTGGTATACAAATAGATATTAATAAATACTTTGGTAATCCATTAAAAAGCAAAATAAAATGCTTTATGCACTTAATTGTTTGCATCATGGATAACCAGATGCTTGCTTGAAGTCTGTCCCCTCCCTCCTCCCCATTCTAAATTATCAGAGCTGAGTAGAAAGTACACAGTAAAGATGTTATGTTCTTGAATCCTTTAACCTATTGTTATCCAGATTTAGCTGTTCTAGCCAACAGTAAGTTCTGTGATTCTATAAAGTTGTAAAGGAGGTTTTGGAGTGATAGAGTTGGACCACTCCCTCCCCTCCATGCCATCATTTAGAGAAAAGGCTCATCTAAACATTTCCACATATCTGAAAGATGAATTGTTCCAAAGATTTTCAAGTAGATAATTATATGAGATTTTTTAATTTTTAAAAAACTGTGTAGTATCTAGCCCTTTTACTATTTTGAATTTTTTTTGCTTTCTCAAGTTTCATATATGTCTACTGACAACCTACTTCACTTTCTTTAGACCTGAAAGTTACTGATCAACTAAGGAATTTGAAGTAACTGATTTTTTTCCTGTAACCTACTTTTACAAGACAATGCAATATTTGGAATTTATTCTTTTAAAAAATTAAAAAGACAACTTCCAGAGTCAGTATACGATCAGCCTACTCTTCTATAACTTTTATATTTGTAGTGCTGTGCTGTTATAATTGGTATTTATAATGCTATTTTAAGGCAGAACAAGTGCTTTCTGAAGTATTAAGATGGTCAGAATAGTTTAATGCATTTTGTGTTCTAATGCATTATTTTTAATAAATTGATAATTCATGTATGGTAATATGTAGTTATTTTGTTAACCAAACTAATTAGCCAGACTATCCAGTTTTCCAAATGTTCTCAATAAATAGGATTTTACTGTAGTTAGTCTAGTTGACCTTTTTACTTACATGTGGAAAACAAAGGCAACTTTTAAAGACCAACTGAAGTTAAATTCTTAGTGTTAATGACCACACTTTACTTTTCAAACCATGTAGTCAATATGTTTTAAGTTTCAAAATACACTAAATTTTCTTTGCTGGGGGCTAGAGATTGTAAATAGTTTAATTTGAAGAAAATGCATTAACTAGGATCTTGCTTATTGTACTTTAATAATAAACCATGTTGAAATCATTTAATTAAATGGTCTGTAGATTTTCATAGTTTGTAGCAACCAACTTTCTGAAGGGTAGATGATTTTAGTTCTCTTTTCAATATTTATCACCAAGAGTCTTTGCTGAAGATGTTACTGTGTATAGGAATGAAATTTCTTTAGGGAAGCTACTTATAAAGGATAAAATATATATCAGAGCTCTGTGGGAATATAAAAGATATGCTGATAGAACAGAAGGACATGAATCTTGGTGGATAAAGTGCAAGTGTGCTATCTTCTTATTTGGGCATAATAAGGATTGAGAGTATAAGGTGAAGAAAAGTATGTTGCAAAAGAGGCTTGGGGGCTAGGGGGTTGTTAGGTTTGTAGGCAAAATATAAGTACATGAAATTAGACACCACCACTTCCATGGAGAACTGAGATGCATGCTAAGCAGTTGGCCTATTAACATACCAGGATACCAATTGGATTCTTAACATTGGAGTCTCTTGTGACAGTGAACAAGTTCACATAGAATGATTTATACTCACCTGCCCCACTGTAGGATCTCTGTTCTGGGCCATCATAGCAGCTTCAGAAAGGGCAATGAGTGTTCTTGAAATTGGGAGGGAGAATCACCAAGTCAGAAAGGTTAAGGAAAGTTTCACACGGGAAGTAGGACCTAATTGAGGCCCTAAAGGATAAGTCTGATTTAAATAATGAAAAGGGAAGATGATTCCAGGCACACAGAAGATACTGCAGTAGCAAAACTGTGAGGGCACAGTGAACTGACTTCTTGGCTGGAGTAAAGAATTCATATTGGACTACAGTGCATATAAAATTAACGCTGAATTATGAAAGACCTTGAATACCAGGTTAAGGAATTTGAGATTTACCCTACTAGCAGTAGGGAGCCACTGACAGTATTTGAGCAGGCAGTGAATGACATGAAAAAAAGCTGTGTTTATGTTATTTTAGGCTAAATATCCAGAATAAGGCAGCTAGGTGGGCACAGTGGATGGAGCACTGAACTTGGATTCTAGAAGACTCATCTTTCCTGAGTGCAAATCTGTTCTCCGACACTTACTAGCTGTGTGACCCTGGGCAAGTCACTTGACCCAGTTTGCCTCAGTTTCCCCATCTGGAAAAGGAACTGGAGAAGGAAATGGCAAACCGCTCTACTATCTTTGCCAAGAAAACCCCAAATAGGGTCACAGAGTCAGACAAGACTGAAAACCACTGAACAACCACAAAAATCCAAAATAAAACTAACCAATAAATTAAATCAATTTCTTTCTCTATCAACATTTTTCTTCCAAAGAAGAGTTGTCTTTCTTTGAAAAATTCTTAACACTATACGAATTAGGTTGTTTTTTTCTTTCGAAGTGGATTGAAGGCAGGTGCTATTGGCATACTGAGTTTGGCCTTGGTAGCAATGTTGCCATGGTTCTTGTTACAGCATGGGAAAAGGATAGCTAATGTACTGGACTACAGACAGCATCAGGTGTGATTAATGCAGCAATTAAGACACTGAAGGAACAAAAATACCTCAGACATCCATGAAAAAGGAAATAAAGAAGCCTGGAAGAAATAAGATCAAAGAGGGACCCAAGAATGCTGTGTGAAAGTAAGGGAACTTAATCACTTTATGATAATCCCTTTAGTTTAGCTAATAAAGTAATTTTCAGACGACAATGAAAAACTATTAAACTCTTTTATATTAGGGACTGATAGATCCAGAATTTGTAAATAGGAAGTCCTTTCTCCCCAGTCCTTCCCATTTTGCCTGCGATGCATTTTATCACTCTGCTAATAAAGCAGAAATACTATTGCCTAGAGCTCAATTTATTTTGTAAGTTAGATTCTGAGGTTCTTAAGAAAGTTTGTGGGGGGGCGGAGCCAAGATGGCGGAGTGAAAGCAGTGACTTGCTTGAGCTCTCCTCCAAACCCTTCCAAATACTCATAAAAAATGGCTCTAAACAAATTCTGAAGCAGCAGAACCCACAAAAAGACAGAGTGAAACAAATTTCCAGCCCAAGAAAACCTGGATGATTGACCAGAAAGGTGTATTGCACCGGGCTGGGAGCGCAGTGCAGGGCGGCGTGGGTGTGCAGGCCTCAGCAAACCTGGAGCAGGCCTCAGAGGACTGAATTGCAGGCAGCTGTGGCGGTTTCCAGACTCCTCAATCCACAAATGCCAAAGACAACTTAGAAGGTCAGTGGGAAAAGTCTGTTTCTGTCAGTGCTGAGAGAGGAAGGCGGGGTTTCAGCTCCATTCCCCAAGAGTGTCCCTGGGGGGGGGCAATTGCTTCCCGAGCTTCCCGGCCCACAGACTGAGGGGGAATCCAGTGGCTGATCAGAGAAGGATTGCAGGGATCTCTTTGCCAGTGCTGAGGCAGGAATCTCTTGCTTTGCCCATGTTTGGATCTGGGTCACAGTTCTGGGCGGAGGTGCTGGGGTGAGAAGGAGCGCTGGCATGGTGGAGCTTGTAGTGGCTGTGGAAAGGAACCCTTCCTCACAGTTACAGGACAGAAAGGAATACTTGTGGTCACAGGCCAGGAAAGGAGTAAACACCTTGACCCTTATCACACTACCTTGGAAGAACTGAAAATTTACACGTCCCTACAAGTATCTCTGAAAACAGCTATACAAACCCCTGAAGCTTGGGACAATACATTTTCCACATTGGAAGCAGACTCTTACCTTAACAAAGAGTTTAAAACTCAAGTAATTGGCTGGGATCATGAGCAAGCAGCGCAAAAAGAGTCAGACTATAGATCTTACTTTGGTGAAAAAGAAGATCAAAAATACAACCAGAAGAAGACAACAAAGTCAAAGCTCCTACATCCAAAGCCTCAAAGAAAAATATGAATCAGTCCCAGGCCTTGGAAGAGCTCAAAAGGGATTTTGAGAAGCAAGTAAGGGAAGTAGAGGAAAAACTGAGAGTGATGCAAGAAAATCATGAAAAACAAGTCAACAGCTTGCTAAAGGAGACCCAAAAAAATACTGAAGAAAATAACACCTTAAAAAATAGCCTAACCCAAATGGCAAAAGAGGTCCAAAAAGCCAATGAGGAGAAAATGCCCTAAAAAGCAAAAATTGGCCAAATGGAAAAGGAAGTCCAAAAGCTTACTGAAGAAAATACTTCCTTAAAAATTAGAATAGAGCAATTGGAAGATAGTGACTTTATGAGAAATCAAGACACAGTAGAAACAAATCCAAAAGAATGAAAAATTAGAAAACAATGTGAAATATCTCATTGGAAAAACAACTGACCTGGAAAATAGATCCAGGAGAGAGAATTTAAAAATTATTGGACTATCTGAAAGCCATGATCAAAAAAAGAGCCTAGACATCATCTTTCAAGAAATTATCAAGGAAAACTGCCCTGATATAGTAGAACCAGAGGGCAAAATAGAAATTGAAAGAATCCACAGATCTCCTCCTGAAAGAGATCCCAAAGGAAAACTGCTAGGAATATTATAGCCAAATTCCAGAGTTCCCAGGTCAAGGAGAAAATATTACAAGCTGCCAGAAGGAAACAATTCAAGTACTGTGGAAACACAATCAGGATAACACAAGATTTAGCAGCTTCTACATTAAAGGACCGCAGGGCATGGAATATAATATTCTGGAGGGCAAAGGAGATAGGATTACAACCAAGAATCACCTACCCAGCAAAACTGAGTATAATCCTTCAGGGGAAAAAATGGTCATTCAGTGAAATAGAGGACTTTCAAGCATTCTTGATGAAAAGACCAGAGCTGAATAGAAAATTTGACTTTCAAATACAGGACTCAAGTGGAACATGAAGAGGTAAACAGGAAAGAGAAATCATAAGAGACTTATTAAGATTGAACTGTTTACATTCCTGCATGGAAAGATGATATTTATAACTCATGAGACCTTTGTCAGTATTAGGGTAGTTGGAGGAAAAAAATTATATGTATGTATATGTAGATAGATAGATAGAGGGCACAGGGTGAGTTGAAGATTAAGGGGTCATATCTGGAGAATAAAATTAAGGAAAGAGAGGATTATACTTGGAGAAGAAGAAAGGGAGAGGTAGAATGGGGTAAATTATCTCACAAAAAAAAAACAGAAGAAAAGTCTCTTACAGTAGAGGGGAAACGGGGGAAGGTGAGAGGGAATGAGTGAATCTTATTCTCATAGGATTTGGCTTAAGGAGGGAATAACATACACATTCAATTGGGTATGGAAATCTGTCTTACCCTACAGGAAAATAGGGGGAGAAGGGGACAAGAGAGCAGGGGGATGATAGAGAGGAGGGCAGATTGGGAAAGGGGTAATCAGAAGTAAATACTTCTGAGGAGGGACAGGGTCAAAAGAAAGAATAGAATAAATGGGAGGGCAGGATAGGATTAAGGGAAATAGAGTTAGTTTTTCACAACATGTCTACTATGGAAGTGTTTTGCATAACTGCACATGTACAACCTATATTGAGTTACTTGTGTTTTCAATGAGGGTGGGTGGGGAGGGAGGAAGAGAGAAAATTTGAAGCCTAAAGTTTTAAAAACATATGTTTAAAAAAAAGTTTTCACATGCTACTGGGAAATAAGAAATACAGGAAATGGGGTACAGAAGTCTATTCTGCCCTACAGGAAAATAGAAGGGGAAGGGGATAAGAGAAGGGGAGAGAGAGAGAAGAGAGGACAGACTAGGGGAAGGGATATTCAGAATGCATGCCATCTTGGGGTGGGGGGAGGGGAGAGATGGGGTGAAAATTTGGAATTCAAAAACTTGTGGGAGTGAATGTTGAGAACTAAAAATAAATAAATTTATATTAAAAAAAGAAAGTTTGTATATTTTCAAAATTTTTATCACATAGTGTTTAGTTCAGCACATTTTCTTAAGGGCATTGTCCCTTTTTATGTGATATAGTAAGTAACTTAGAGTAATGTCTTTACTTCATAAGATAACAGGACCTAGATTGAATTCACAGGTAGAAAATTGAAAATTCCAAACTTTAAGAAGAGGAATATTTCCATGGAAGCAATCTATTTACTGGATGATATTGGAAACCACA